TTCATTTATTTCAAATCTGAAATTCTCATTCTCTGTTTAGAATGCAAACGAAAAATCAATATCATGAAAAACATAATTATCCTAATCAGAAAAGAGGAGGAAAAGCGCGAATTCGATAGAACCTAACCCGAAACTCAAACACAATGTTGTTCTTGAAACCTTGAACCGATTGATGGATTAGCCTTGCTTCATGATCATGTTTGCTTCGGCCAAAACCAGAAAATATGAAAAGATGGAAGGTAGAGAGACAAAAATAAAGGAAAGAATTTAAAATAAAGACTTGTAATTCTAAAAAAATTGCGGGAAAAGAAAAACAAGGATTCATACATGGAGTCGTAACCTTTATTTAAAGATAAAATAATTGGGCTTAATTAAGGCCCAACTCCCTAATGAGTTTCCTAAACACCTAACTAAGTAAAAGACATAATAATTGGGCTTAATTAAGACCCAACTCCCTAACTAAGTAAAATCAACAATACAATCAAATTCTGAAAATTTTAGTGCAGGGACGCAATATTGTGATGCAATTTTGGACTTGAAGATGCTCGAATTGGGATTTTCTCCCAACAGAGAAGTTGTAGATCTCTGTCTTATCTTTCCGGGGACACCAATTTTGTCCAATTCCGTATAGTGTAGCTTCAGATATGGTCTTTGCAAGAAACTATGTCAAAATAAGAAATTATGGCGGCAATTAAGAAAGATTTATATTTAAATTCTAAATTACTTACTAACACAAATCTAAACTAACACATCAAAATAATGCACTAATGAAGCACAATTAAACCAAAAACATGGAGAGAAAGATGTACTAAAATATGACTATCAACCTCCCTTGAATTTTTTATCATAGTGGACCTTCAATTCTACATCTAGTGGTTCATTGATAGATGGGTTGGGTTGCTTCTTTGATTTCTACTCCAAAACTTTGAAGTCCCTCTTTCTCCATAATGGCTTAGTGGCTTCTAAATGACACCACTGTTCTTGAGTTAGCAAGCTCATATCATCTTTTCCTCCTTCATGAACTAAGCTTTTTTTCAATGAGTTTAAAATCAAGAATTCCTGTGCATAATTAGAAACACACTCATCAATTACATTAATAAAGTAGCAAGAATCATCTTGTTTCAAAGACTTTTTTATTACATCAGGAATTTTGAAAGTGACTTTTTCATCTCCAACTCTCAAAATTAACTTTCCATCCCTCACATCAATTATAGCCCCTGCAGTAGCTAAAAATGGACAACCTAAGATCAAGGGGACATCAGTGTCCTCGTCCATATCAAGAATCACAAAATCAACAGGAAAAATAAATTTATCCACTTTTACAAGCACATCCTCAATGATACCTGTAGGATATTTAATTGACCTATCAGCTAGTTGAATACTCATCCTAGTTGGCCTAGGTTCCCCTAAACCCAATTTCTTAAAAACAGAATATGACATCAAATTAATGCTAGCACCTAAATCAGCTAAAGCCCTATAAACTATCAATCTACCAATGAGACAAGGAAGAGTAAAACTCCCTGGATCCTTTAATTTTTCAGGCATCTTATTTTGCAGAATTGTTGAGCATTCTTTATTCAGAGTTACTATAGCCAACTCCTCCAATTTCTTCTTATTGGACAGTAGATCCTTCAGAAATTTGGCGTACTTAGGAATTTGTGCCAAGGCATCAACAAACGGTAAATTAATATGAAGTTGACGAAATATGGACAGAAAATTACCAAATTGTTCATCATCCTTGCCTTTCTTCAATCTTGCTGGGTAGGGAAGTGGGGGTGTGAATTCTTTCACTACATGGGGCTTTTCCACAATCTCCTCTTGACATTTATCCTGCTCTTCAACTGCATCTTTTTCTATTTCTTGCTTCCTTTCTCTTGTAATGTTCTGCCACTCCTTAATGTTACTGTATTGACCTGCTCCCTAGGATTAGTCTCAGTATTTCCAGGCAAGATTCCTTGTGGTCTTTCTGAGAGGAGTCTAGAAATTTGACCCAACTGAATTTCTAGATCATGGATAGAGGTTTGTTGATTTCTTAGTGCTGTCTCGGTGGATTGGAACCGAGATTCTAAAGTTTGAATGAATTTGGTCATCAACTCCTCAAGGTTTGACTTCTTTTCAGCTGGGGTGGCGGTGGATGTGAAGCTTGTTGAAATCCTGAGAGTGTGTTGTTCCGCATTGGCTGTTGGTCGTTGTTCCATAGTGGGTTTGCATAATTTCTCCAGTCCAGATTATTCATGCCATTATAATTCTGGTAAGGTGGTCTGTTTCCTATCACATTAGCATGTTCTTCTTGAGTAGCTCGACACTCATGATTAGGGTGGCCTCCTCCACAAATATCACATCTCATCATCGGAGCAACTGGATGGTTAACAGATAAACCATCAATCTTCTTCCCTAAGGCTTCAACTTGCATTGCCAAGGATGTTACTACATCAAGACTATAAATTCCAGTAGATTTCGCAGGTTTAGATCGAGTGGAGCTCCATTGATAGCTGTTCATTGTCATTTCTTCAAACAGTTCTTGTGCAGCCCCTTGGTGTCTTGCTGTTCAAAGTGCCCCCAGCTACAGCATCTATCATTTGTCTTGTGGCTGGGTTCAACCCATTGTAGAAGGTTTGCACTTGAAGCCAGTCAGGAATCCCATGATATGGGCACTTCCGTAGTAATTCCTTAAACCTCTCCCATGTATCTAAAGTCTCTAACTCCAACTGGTAAAAGGAAGAAATATCATTCCGCATCTTGGCAGTTTTTATGGGAGGAAAATATTTTGCTAAGAACTTTTCTGCCATGGCCTCCCATGAAGTGATAGATCCTCGCGGGAGAGAGTTCAACCACTGTTTTGCTCTGCTCCTGAGAGAGAATGGAAATAACCTCAAGTGGATTGCATCATCAGTAGCTCCATTTATCTTAAACGTAGCACAGATCTCCAGAAAATTAGCGATTGTGAGCGTTAGGGTCTTCATCTTGTAACCCATCAAATTGGACAAACTGCTGAACCATCTTAATAACATTGGGCTTTATTTTGAAGCTCCCCTGCACATATGGACGGACAATGCTAGATTTTGTCCCAGTTAATGATCAACGAGCATAATAGGACATGGTCCTTGGTTGCTCTTCATTGTTTGTCATTCCTTCCATGTGGGTTTGTGCGTTTTCCCTTTGTATTAGCAGTCGCCTCTCTTTCCGAATTTTTCGCAAAGTTCTTTCTAGCTCTGGGTCAAATTCAAATAGTGCAAAATAGAAAAGTTAATTCAAGACTAAAGAAATAAAGAAATTAGTACATACGTAATCAAGGGAATCCTAATTAATCAGTCCCCGGCAACGGCGCCAAAAACTTGATGTGTAAAAACTGATTACTGGGCAAGTGTACTTGTTGTCAGAGTAATATTATGAAAAATAGAGTACCAAGTGTCGTATCCACAAGGACTGTTATTAATAATTACTTTCTTAATTGCGCAATTATTAATGAATATGAAAAAAATAAATCTTGTTGATAAAATTGCTAAAAATAAAAGAATAATAAATTAAAAGGAACATATATTCCTATGAAAATAAATTATAGGAAAATATGACTAAAGGTATTCAAGGGAAATAGACGAGTATCTAGACTGTAAATCCTCCTAAGTGTCCAAATAACTAAAATTCTTCTTCAACTACTTAGTTCCAAACCCATATCGCTGTAGGAAATTCTGAATTAAATCAATACCTTTCTCAAGGATAATGATTCCTAACCCTCAGTTGATTAATCGAAATCTCTTCCTTAATTAATACCCCTAGGTTGCATTAAGTTCATTATGAATTCCATAATTAGGGTTAATCCTAATACAGAAAACTTATGTCTTTCTATCTCTAGAAATACATTCAAGTCCTTTTAATTGAGCAATGTTAATTTCATGCAGGAATTTTACTCAAATTCAAACAAGAAAACAAGATGGAAGACAATTGATACTACTCAATTAAACCCAAGAGAAAAGAACATGAAATAATATTAGAAGAATTCTAGAAAATTTGGTCAATTAGGATTCATTACGTCTAGATACTCAAAGGAAAATTAGAACCTAAACATCTTAAAACTAAAATTACAAAAGAGATGAATAAAAGTGTTTGTTCCATCCTCCAGCCGTCTCTGAGTCTTTCTTCTCCTCCAAACCACCCTCCCCTAGGTTTTTGTGCCAAGTTCCCTTTTATATGAGTGGCCCAAGGGCTCATCTTCACGCAAAAATTTGAATTCTGATGCACGTTAAAAGTACACGGCCATGTACACGGCCGTGTATATCTTTGGTCTCTAAAAATTGTACTTCACAGCTTTCATAAAAAGTACACGCCCATGTACTTTGACCTTGTACATCTCTGGTTTTGATGATACACTTCAATTGACGCGACCAGTGAGATACACGGTCATATACACGGGCGTGTACTTGTCCATGTATGTCTCTGGTTCTCTGGGTGCTTCAATTCCTAATATCTTTTAAAGCTTTCACTTCTTGATCTTTTTTCCTGAAATATGAATAAAATGAAATTAATAATAGTAAATTTTCTCAATGAATAGCTTAAAACTCTCAATTATCATTCATGAATTACAATGTAGGATCAAATATAGAAAACATTTATCAAATGTGTTGTGAATGGTTCAGCGATACACTGGAGGTGTGGGAGATGAGGACGGTAGAAATACCTTGGGAAAGAGGGAGTGGTGGTGACACCGACTGTGGAGTGGGTGCACCACAGGCCACACACTCTCTTCCTGACTAGACCTCTAACCACTACCTTTGCTAAGCGACCCGTGACTGCCCACGTGGTATCCGTGAGGCGGGGGTAACTGGCTGGTGTACGTATGCATGGATTTGTGTTTTGTACTTATGGATGTGAAATGCTGCCTTTGATTGTGATTGTGTAAGGTGTTGAAAATGTGCTGGAGGTGAGACTCTATGTTTGATTGTGTTTTGGTAGCGTAGAGTACTCACCCTTACATTCATTTTTCAGGTAATCAATACGATCAGCACCGGGCTTAGTGAAGGGGTGGATGGAACTGCTATAGGACTTAGAATATTATTTTGAAAACTGTTGTATTTGAATAAGTCCTGTAGCAACTGTTCGATATAATTTGTAAACCCTTTCTTTATTTGAAATGCTTAATGAACTTGGATTGAAAATGAGAATTTTATTATTTTAAAAATTTGTGAAATTCTATATTTATTGAAATTAAATTAAGGTGTTACATAAAGCATTATTTTAGCTGAGATAATGTAATATGTAAACTCAGGGCACTCTTTTCCTTGCTCGGGTTTTGTCCTCCTAAAAATTTATGAAAAGAGGTTTTTCCGAGAAGGTTTTTAACGTGGCACTTTATTAATAAAATCTACTTCACTCAATTCTAAATTATTTCCTCCCAAGTACTACTATTCAGCTAAGGTTGAAATGATTTCCTCCCGAATATTCCTACTCGGCTAAGTTTGAAATAAGCATTCCTTTATGAGTATCTCTATTCAACTAAGGTTGAAATGATTCCCTCCCGAGTATTCCTACTCGACTAAAGTTAAAATAAACATTCCCTCCCAAGTATCCCTATTTAGCTAAGGTTGAAATAAGCATTCTCTCCCGAATACTCCAACTCGGCTAAGGTAGAAATACGTATTTCCCCCCGAGTATCCCTACTCGGCTAAGGTTGAAATCAAGTATTCCCTCTTAAATACTCCTACTCAGCTAAGGTTGAATATTTGCCATAAATAAACCAAGTGGCTAGGATTAGCTTACACTGTTGTTACATCTATAAATACTTAATCACACATGTCTCGATTATTCTCCTCGTGATTCAAATATAATTCAAATATAATATGCAAATCCTAGCTCTTGTTATTATAATACTTTATAAAAGAATATAGTTACTTACAACCAAATGGTTATACTCGGATAAAACAAATGATTATCAACGCATGTTACAGTCACTACAAATCAGTTTTAACTTGTTCAAAATTAAGCATCAGCAAATATGGAAATGAAAGCTTGTCTTTTGTATTAAAACGACACTGAAAGGTTGAGACATTACAAAAAAATTGGTACCAAAACCTACAAAAGTAAAATTCAAAAAGAAAATAGAAGGCCCCGGTCACCAATTCCTCTATTCTTGGCCTGGAGCAGTATCTTCAACCCCCATCATCTCCCTAATGGATTGGGGCCTCATCAGCAGCACCCTGACCTTGGCAAGAAGTTTGGCATCAGGCTATACATCATCTGACACATCGTCGTTACTCAGGAACTTCCTACTAAAGAAGTCCTTCATTAAGTCAAATTGGAAGTTCGTAGGAACCTGGTAGAATTCAACCGCCTGCCTCATAGCATTACGGAATCTAGCTTTGTGCTCGGCAATAATCTTGCCATGACACTTAGCAATGAATGCCTTCATATCAACATCGACATTTTCTTTGTTATGCCTCTCTCTTTCTAAGGTGTCGGCCAACTCCAAATTTTTTGCGCTCAAGGCCTCTTTGGTTGCTACAGCCCAACCATCATGCAATTGATCTTCAATGATAGTGAAGTGCCACTTGACTTGATCTACTTCAATCTCCAGCACTTTATTAGTATCAGCCAAGTTTGACTGAATTTCTTCACTTTCTTCTAACGCTTTCTAGGTTGAAGAAAATTGGCTTTGGACCTTTTCTAACTGAAGCAAAGGCTCCAAAGCCAAGCTTCGTACCATCACCATGGCTCGAATTTGCAGTTCACAATACCATTGCCACCAAGACCTGTTATCCTGCTTATTTACAATTGCCCTCCCAGTATCCAATAACAAGTTTGAGGATACAAGCTTAGTGGCCTTGACCCCTTCGGCAAAAAAGTTTTCACTTAGAACAACTGGAGGGATGATGGTTGAAGCTGAAGATCTACTCAAACTAGCTGAGGATTCAGTACGAGCATGTTTTCTTCAGCGATCTTTCTCAATTTCCTTTCTTTTGCCCTTGTCCTTCCTCTTCTTGCCTTGACCTGCAGCAAGAGGAAGGTCCTGAGGAGGAGGACATGCTTCCACCAACTCCAGTACACAGTCTATTTGGGGTGGCGGTGTTGTTCAGCAGAAGTATCCTATGGAGCCAAGTCCTTATAGCGTGGCGGTAAGACATACTAGCTCCCCTTTGCGCCATAATACCTGCACCAAAAATAGAGAATCAAATCAATATATCAGGGTCAACAAAGCAGAAGAAAAAGTCATAAAGCATACCTTTCTAGTCCAACTGAGGCTTAGGAGATTTTGGTGAAAGAACTAGTGCTCAGGCAAGAAGTTCTCTTGGAAGAGATTTCAAATAATCCAATGCCGGCAGCTCCTCCTGAGTAAGCATCTCCTCAAGATAAATATCGTATCAACAAGGTACGCGGGTCCACTAGAAGGGGAAAAGGGGTCTGTCTTCACTATCAAAAAAATATTTTTTGCCTATGGGTTTGACGGTTACTTTAAAGTATCTAGTTTTGAAACCGTTGAACGAAGAAGTATATGGTTTAAACATAGGT